CGGCAGAGTCGGAATCAGAATCCAGATATATATCATTCTGAATTTCTCTTCACTGTTGGTCTATATAGCTACTTGTTCTGAAAGTTTTCCTATTAACTAAATGATCCCACCATGACCACCCTAATCTGGCACCCCAATTTTGACACTAATCCTGAAGCCAATGATGGTGAGACCCTAGAACACAGATACTTATGATGGTAAGTTTTATCCCCCCAAAGCAACAAGATGTGCCTATACTCACTCTGGGGTTCCTGTTAAGCCTTAAATTACCTTTTAAATTAAGTAAGTGAAAAATCAAGTGAATCTGGTCCAAGAGAAAAACTATTTTGTCACCTGAATAGAGATTAAAAACTGAGCAAAAAAAAAAGCATACGTTGGGATAATCTGCTGCCCACTGGCAATTTTCCTCAGCAGAGCCCCAGCAGAAACACCATGAACATAAAACAGAATGGAAATAGACCAACTATAAAGATGTGCTCTTGTTCCTTTATTTTCTAGAAAAATACCTTACTTCTAAAAACTCTCTTATAAGTTCTTCATTCTTAGTTATAACTGTGTCATTGTATATACCCTCATGTGAGGAAAACCTGGGATATGGAAGCTCTGTGTCAAAAATGTAGCATCTCTTAAAAAAAAGAGCTAATTTGCCATCTTGTGTAAAGGAATCACACCACCGTAAGACATTACCACTTGATAACCCAGTGAAATGGATCCCACAAATGATTTTCTTGTTAATCTGTTTTCCTTCTTTTTCTTCCCCTCTTTTGAGTTTTTCTAATCACATCCCTCCCTCCTTGCTAGCACTTGGAGCTCAAGATGAATAATTTGGGTAATAGGAATTTTTCAGCTTAGCAGGTTTTATGAGCCAAAATGGTTAGCACCTCGTTTGGGATTATTCTCTCCACGCGGAGCAACGAGCTTCAGCAGCCAAGTCCTAGGTGCCAAGAGTGCAATGATTAGCATTCCCCAGCTCAAACACCACCTCCAAGTGGGATGTCTCTTTTTCATTTCTAGGATTAAAGCTTTGATCAAAATGGGCCACAAAGCCAACATATCATCCTTGTTTGGTATATACTCGAAACCACAGGGTTTGGTTTGGTTTTGATTTTGTCTACCTTTAAACTATTTTCCCCATATTGCTCTTTCTCCTCATGATAGGAATTGAGTAAGTCATCAAGTGAAAACTTGGTATCTTTGGGATTGTGGGAAAGAGGTGCTTAAGGGGTCATCATTTTGAGTAAAAGTGACTGGTTGCCATAAAAATTTATGTTTTAAGAAGTAGTGATCAAAGGGGGCGCCTGGGTGGCTCAGTGTGTTAAAGCTTCTGCCTTCGGCTCAGGTCATCATCCCAGGGTCCTGGGATAGAGCCCCACATTGGGCTCTCTGCTCAGCAGGAAGCCTGCTTCCCCCCCTCTCTCTCTGCCTGCCTCTCTGCCTGCTTGTGATCTGTCAAATAAATAAATAAAATCTTTAAAAAAAAAAAAAGAAGTAGTGATCAAGGGATCAGAAGTATTTTTGTAGTGTATACCTGTCATTGCTTAATTCAGATGTACTCCGTATTTCCTTTGCATTTTAAAACTTTAAATACTGTTTGATCTTTATCAGTGTGAATTTCACTATTTCCAATATTTGGCCACCCTACATATTTCTAAAACCCCCCAAAAGGAAAAAAAGACAAGAAGTGATCATTAATACTAGACCAACTCTCCAGAAACCACATTATATATACAGTTTAAACCCCCCTCAGTGCAGATTCCCTGGGCATCCCTCAAGAGATTCCTTTTGAGTTTTTGTGAACCCTTGTGTGTACCTGCATTTTGTTGAGGGAATGTTCCTTGGTCTTTTGTCAAAATCTCAGGAGTCAAAGAAAGTGTCCTGGAGAGTTTTTCTACCTCTCAGTAGAGAGAAAAAGTGATCCCACTTATTTCTTTCATTATGCATAACTTGAAACCAATATCATTTCAACTTTATTTGTAAAGTAGCACTTACAGAGAACCGATTTCTGTTCTTGTAAAATATACAGACGACTAGTGAAAATTCAGAGTACCAGGAAGGATCCCTAGTGAAAGCTACCTTGTGTTTATTATCCTCCCTGTGGAAAAAGTTATTATTCACAGAAATGTTATGATACATTCCATGGTCAGTCATCAAACAAGGAAGGAATAAACGCGATTCTTCACTGTTTCATCATGTGTATGTGCCTTGCTCAAAATATTAAAGGGGAGTATTTTCATCATGCTTTTACTGAATAATTAAATTAGGCCAATGTTCTGTGGATGTGGAATAATGTAATTTACTTTGTTGAATGATTAGCCAATCAGATTTCTCTCATTTTCTAAGGCAATGGATTGACTAAAATGTGACCATAAACAAAATAGATTTTATTAGGCATAATCTACTTTGTAAACAAATGAAATTAATTCTCTGCCTGACCTAAAGCTTTGAAAATGCAAGACCAAAATTGAACACATGCTTCCAATCTTGGTTCTGTTACTAAGATGACACTTAATATAAAAGTTACAATTTAACTTCCCCTCAAGTATTCCATACTTGATACTAAATGACTCTTAGAAATATGTTCATCAACAGATGGGAGCCACTTATGGCCTCATAAACTCCAAAGCAAGTGAAATTATCTCAGCAAAATAGAAAGATTACAAGAAAGCCTCATCTGGTTATCTCAGAGATGATTAATGCATTGCATATTGGTTCAATGGCGCAATGAATATTGACAGATAATCACCCTTCCTCATATGAAAGAAATACGGAGGAGATGAATGCTACTCATGTATGTTTTTAATCAATCAATAAGCAATTTTAGTACATGCCCTACGCTTGGAGCTGAGCTTAGTGCGACGAGATGTGGAGGAAAGTGCCAGCACCGACCCTCTTCTAAGGGGATTGTCTCTCTTGGAAGAAAACACTAACACGCCTTAAGTGCTGCATAGAATGACAGACTGTGTTATTGCTTACTTGCTCTTAACCACCCAGTATAGACACTGTGGGAGTTTGGAGAAGTCAACAATCAATGAAAAGAGGCCAGGAAAGGATCATGGAGAACTTGAAACCACATTTATTTAGATTTGATTCAGCGGGAAGTACAATGAGCTGGCAACAAAGTTTTGAGAGTTGAGAAATGACCTCGGGAAAATGAGTGTGGAATTTTCTTAAAACCATATCCTGTATTTTCCTTTTTGCTCTGTCTCCAGTGGTACCAGTCACCAGCCTCTCTCCAGGCTACTCTGCTTCCCCTCCTGCCAGGCCCCCGGTCCATTCTCCACTGGGTGGGGAGAGTGAGCTTTATAAAACATTAGTCACATCATGTTCTTGACCTCTCTGAGACCTCCAGCAGCTAATATGATGCTTCTGATGAGACCCAGTGTCCTTCCTATGCTCTCCACCATCTGATTGTCCTACAAGATAGGGTCCCACGCTCCTCTTCGATTTCATCTTGTGTCACTGTGCCCCTCCCGCTCATGCGACAACCACACGGGCCCTGCCCTCTGTCCTTCCACCTGGCCTGTCTCACCCTCACATGAAGACCCTTTCACTCGCTACCCCTGACAGACATGTTTGTCATTCAGACTTCTGCTCCAGTAGCTTCTCCCGAAATAGATCTTCCCTAGCCACCTATCATCTGTGTTGTCTCCATTTCCTCTCTGCCCCTGCTACTCACACTCCCATCACTGTCCGCTTTGGTGTTTGTTTCTCACTTACCACCAGTGACTTTTTTTTTCTTGATTCTTCCTTTGTTTATTTGCACATTAGCTACCTCCACCCACAAGAACATAAGTACCAGGAGAGCAGGAGTTGTTTGTCCCAAGGCATTAAACAGTACACATATTAGATGCTCAATAAATGTTTCTCAAACGAATGCTTTGCTTAATTCATCCTGTGGGCAGGCAGTAACAGTGGTCTGGGCATGAAAAAAAAAATGTGTGCGTGTCCTATATTGATAGTGGAAGTGAAAACTTTAGAGAAAAACTGAATAGAATTTGGTGTCCGAATATGAAGGGAAGTAACAGTCTAAGACAAAGATTAACACAAGGCCCCTGGGGTTACCGCAGAAAGGTGATACTCTCAGCAGAAATATAAAAGTCGTAGTTAAAAGCCACATTTTATGAGTACATACTGCACATGGGACATTATATATATATTTCATTATTTTTCACAGCTCCATTAGGGAGGCACCATTCTCCGTCTTATGGATGGGAAGCTGAGTCAGCGCCCACCAAGGTGTTCAATTAGAGAGGCTATTCCAGTGAGGGAGGTTGATTTGGTAGAAAAGCACTGGTATAATAGTAATTGACAATTGCATATTAAGTAACGTGTGTATATCGATCCAACACCAACTCACCACTCATCCTCTCCCTGTGGCTTTGGTCCAGGAGCTTGCCTTTAACTAAAGGAGACCGGAGCCCTGGCGGGGGTAGAGACAGGTAAACTGACCCTTTCCTGCCATCTAATGTCAGCACACCCCTCCTCGCTCAGAAGGGAGCGTGCTCTGAACCTGGGAACCTCACTGGACGCACCATGCGTCACAGGCGAGGCAGGAGGCTTTAACCCATGGGTCTGAGAACCGATATAGAAGGGCACCTCCATCTACTTTCAGTCACCATACTGGCTACAGGCTAGTTACCAGTGACCTTCAGTTATAGAAGACCCTACGGAAATCCCCTGTGTGGAGCCTGGGACTTCCTTCCCCCGGTTGTGCACAGCTTTCCCTTGTGTGGGAAGTAGGTGGAATCAAAAAGCTGTGGTGTTATTTCGGAGGGGGGGGGGGGGGGGGTGCCGAGATGTGTTCATTCCTTCCAAGGAGCAGATGACAGCATTGTAAGGAGGCAAGGGAGGCGACAATGCCATGTCTGAAGGACCTTCAGAGAATTCTGCTTGCTGGCTGGATGATATCAGTGTCTCTATAGATAGGTTAGACAGTCCATCAGTGACTGGATGTAAGAAAATTATAGTTGGATATCAACACAAGCCCTGCCCTCCCACTCGGCATTGCCATTCCCAGGGCTCAAGTAGCTTTGGACTAATAGGTACTGGGTGGTGGAAGAAGAGTTTCCCCAGGTATATGCTGCTTCCCCGGACTTGGGCTCTGCCTAAAGAAAGCAACAGAAAGGGTTGGACGACCCCCAGCACCACCGCCAGCCTTGGCCAGGGTCCCACTCGCACTTACCGAGTCCGGGCTGCAGAGGGCAGGTGCCTCTCTGTCATCCTCCCATGTCCACTCGCAGCTCATTCTATACCAGCTCTGGGGAATGAAGTTGTACAGACCCTGAAGACTCCCAGCCTCAGGCTAAGGGATGGGGACCAGCGCTGCTCATACCTGGCCTTGAGAAGAAAGGGGGACCCAAAGGAGTATCCAGGGCCAGGGCCCTTAATGCTTCTTAGTTTCCATGACTTCTTGAATCAAGTAGACTCACCTTCAGGAGAAACAACTCATCTTGGAAACCCCAAAAAGCTTCAAAATTTGGATTCGAATAATATCAGTAAGATAAAATGGGTAAAATTGAAGGCATGAAGAGGTAAGACCTACAGATACGCATTTTGATCATCACTTCGTTTCAGTAGGGATCTGTTCCTTCTGATGCCCTCATCTCGTAACTCACTCTGTTGCCCCTTGCCTCTCTGTCCCTCTCCTTTGCTGTGAGTTTGTCTTACTTTCTCCCTTGGCATTCTTTTTCACACTGAAATCCCCAAGAGAGATCCCACTCAGCATGACCTCACGATCGCCAAGGCCTGATCTGATGCCTAAGGCAACCCTCTCTTCCTAGTGCAGAGCCCAGGTAAGCCACGGGGGCACCGAAGGCTGAGGGGCCTGCTCTGCACTGAGAGGGCTGGGCCAGGCTTTGGGGAGGCAGCCTTGGGTAAAGCTGAGTTGTCAGATATGCAGGCAAGTAAGCCAGAGAGGCCTGTGTGGCACTCAAAGGTGCTGACACGGGCAAATCTGATCCGGGGCTGGCAGACACTTAACCAAATAAGACCAATGGAATGTGTTCCTGCCAGGGTCACTGTGGCTCTCACAGCGTGGCCCTTCCCAGAACTCAAGTGGCTTTGGACTGATAGGCAATGAATGGGAACAAAACAAGCCCTGGAGTACACGCCGCTTCCTGGGACTGAGTTCTCGCCCACACCAATGCCCTCACCACCACCACGGCCTTAACAACGCTCTTCTCTTGGACTCTGCATCTCTTTAAGGCTGTTACTTTTTTTCTCTTTACTGATAACTAGTTTTCCAGCCCACAGCCAGAGGGGAGATGGATTAATGGACTTAGCTAGTCACTGGCCACACCCCTGAGCAGAGGTGATCACTCCGAACTTTCTTACTGGTTGCCCGCTGGCCTAGGGATGGGAGGCCTCTACAGCAGGTGCTTACTCCTAACTGGTGTCCACCTCCATCAGGTCGAACAGGAATAGAACCTGTTGCTCTAGTCACTTCAGCCTGCAGCTGGGAAGGCGGGCCTTCTGCATGAGCTGCCCAGTGTCAAAGGACAACCAGAGAAGAAAGGCACAGAGACGGGATGTGTTAACATTTTGGAGAAACCTACTATATATCAGACACTGTACTGGGCCCTTTGAAACTGCCTTTATCTAATACGTTTTCAAAAAGACTCCTTTTTTTTTTTTTTCCTGCCACCAGCGTGTCAGAATTAGAGGGCTGAGATTTTAGGATGGCCTTGGGTAAATAGGTCCAAAGAGGCTTTTTGGCTCAAAGTTGGTTCTAGGTCATAGGACTGCCTGCTCTGGGCAAGAGAATTCTTACCAATCTATATAGTCTAGTTCAGTGCAATAAGATGAGATTCCATAAGGGGTTCCTTTTCTCAGCCTTATTTTATACATATGTACACAAACGTGCACCATGAACATCTCCAAAGGGCAAGTGACATTTCCAAAGGGCGAGGTGTTTGGGATCCTGGATGCCAGCCAATGCCATCACTTCCATTTCTACATGTCCAAGAACGAATATTAGGATTCTCACTTTAAAAATGGAAAAACAGAATTAGAATGTTAATTGACTTCCTGTAAGAACACTGGCTGTGTCTTTGTAATATCCTCTCATCTCTTAATATTTCCTTGCATTTTGGCCAGACTTCCAGCTGACTACCGTCACCTGTGACTCACTGCCTGAAGGAGCTTACCCTGGCTTCCTGTAGAGCAGCCTAGAATTGCCAGACCTCTTCCCTGTAAGAGCCTCCAACCGTGGCTGATGGGATTTGGTGGGATAACTCTGGAGTTCTCAAAGTTCCCCAGTGGACCTGAGATCCAGTTCCTACTGTGCTAACTTTCTTTAAAATTCACCCTATCCTCTCTACCTTCTCTTCCCTATCTTATTTTCCTATTGTCCTACGCGTACTTGCTAGAATCTACTCCGAATTAGCCACTTGCCTCAAATCTTTGACTCAAGGTCTGCTTCTAGGGAAACACAAATAAAGACACTACCCTAAAATCGCCCAATGAATATGTGGAAAGCCTGGTGGATCTGACTTAAAATTAAATGTTCTTTATATTTTGTGGGTCTATCCAGCCACCATGTTGTTGGCCTCACAACGGCTTTCTTCTCTCTTGCACTTACATCTCCATCCTATGGAAGCAGCCAAGCCCCCTCCTCCACGGCTGACCCAGGGCTCTGGCCTTCCCTGGCCCCCTGGTCCACCCTAAGTTAGTCCCCTGTTTCAGTATCACCCCATTTACTCATTCCCCTTGCTTGCTAATCCATACCTATAACAACAAAAGAGAGAGAAAGAGAAGGAAGGCAGGGGGAAGGAAATAAGGAAGAAAGGAAGGGAAAAAGGAAGAGAGAAAGGAAGAGGGAGGGAGGGAGGAAGGAAGGAAGGAAAGAAGGAAGGAAGGGAGAAAAGAAGAAAGAAAACTTCACACACAGACTTCCAACCCAGGGCAGCAGGCTCCCTCTTCCCCATTATACCCCTGTGAACAAGAGCAAGGATGGTCTAGCAACTTCATTGTCTAGAAGAAGGTGTCAGAATCAAGGTTGCCTCCTCCATGTCTCTTCCAGAACCCTCAGGTATACAGACTCTTGTTTTTGTTCATCTTCAGTGCAAGGGGATAAGCAGCGGGTTGACAATTAGTAATTTTTAGAAAACTCAATACCAACTTGGAGATATTAGAGAGTCCTATTCCAAATCGATTAGATATCTACAATTCCGGTAAGCTATCAAAATCCTTGCAGCGCAACATCCACTTATCTCCTCCTTCTTTTATTGCAAATATCATTGACTGTATTTGTCACTCTCCTCCCCACTAGACACTTGCAGGGCACACCCCGGAGACAACATGGTGAGGATCAAACATTCGGAATGGATTTCACGTTAACCCCCTGCAGCTCCTCATTAAGGTTTTGAGTTTCTTTAAAAAGCAAAGTGTTGTGCTCATTCTTCCTAGGATGGAAGTAGAGAACTGGACTGTGTTCCTGACTCTGCCACTGACTCTGCAGAATGACCTTGGGCAAATTACGACGCAAGTAGTTTTATTTATCCACGAATTTGAAAGCAATAGCCTCATTTTTCTCAAGAAACCTTAGAAGAAAGATAAAATGATAAATCTATAAAAGCACAATGGACTCCTTGGACAGAAGCCTTACCTACTTACATACATCGAGGTTATGTCTGTTTCCAGGTTCCACGGGTCTCACCAAACCAGAGAACGGCACTATTCTCAGTAGAAACTTCCTCCTTGATGTTGACATCGCCCTATGTCCTCATCTTTTGCGTTTCTTTGGCTTTAAGGGAAATAATAGAGAGAGGAATTAAATCCAAAATTGAGAGGACTGGCAAATGAAATTAGAATTTCAGTCCCTGCATCCAAGTTGACTATAGAAATGAGCTCGTTGGACCAGTTGGAATAATCTCAGTATTGAAAGTGTTGTTTTGTGTTCAAGCAGCTTCAAAGATTTGAAGGTGGCAGCTGAGAGAGAACCAAAAGTCACTAGTGTCTCTCTCTACTCCCCCTCCCACCCCCAGGTTCACGTGCTCATTATTTCTTCCTGGGACTGTAAGTGGGCTTTCTTTTCTTCTGTTTTCTTTCATCATCTTTATCGCCACTACACTGATTTTTTTTCCTTTCCCATTTCTGTCTCTCGGTTGTCTTCTGCCTTCTTTTTTTTCCACTCAGCTTTATCCCTATTGAGCATTTATCATGGACTCTTTTCTTTTTTTTTTTTTTAAGATTTTATTTATTTGACAGAGAGTAAAATCACAAGTAGGCAGAGAGGCAGGCAGGGAGAGAGGGGGAAGCAGACTCCCCGCTGAGCAGAGAGCCCGACGCGGGGCTTGATCCCAGGACCCTGAGATCATGACCTGAGCTGAAGGCAGAGGCTTAACCCACTGAGCCACCCAGGCACCCCTTATCATAGACTCTTAAGTCTGTCATGTTTTAAGTGAGAAGAGGAGAAAAAGACTGAAAAAGCAGAGGAAAAGCATTCCTATTCGCCTAGAAAATGCTTGTCCCATAGAGATGCTCATAAATATTTAAGGAACAAATCAATAAAAAAAACCTAATATTTATAGAAAACAAACTTTGCATTAAGCACTCCACACACACTTCCTATCATTCAACTACGCTGCAAGGTAGATGCTGTTATTATCCCCATTTTAGTGACAAGAAGGCTGAAGCTTAGAACTAAAACAGGGTAGCCAGGTTTGCTCTGATAGTAAATGATAGAAACAGGGGCCACAAAACCAGGTCCATGTGACTGAGAAATCCCAGTTCTCAACTACCATCCTCCCTTGTGGCAGACATATGCTTTATGCTTTACTTACATCAATTCATCAAATGGGCATTAAATGGGGAGTAAATTGCTTGATGTATGCTGCAGCTGAAAAAAGCCACGGATGAGTAAGACTGAGATGGGAAGCACGACTTCAGCAGTAGCTGTGTTAACTTGGGCCAGTTATGTAAACTCCCTGAGCTTCAAGCCCTTCATCTGTAGAATGAACATATCTGTATCTTGTTTTGGGGTTGATGCAGTAGTTAAATTAGCTTGCTCCATTCCCCTGGCCTTTTAACTAGGCAAATACAATGAAGAAGAATATTCTAGAGAAAGGACATAAGTCACCGAGACAGGAAAGAGAAATGATTTTGCACAGCACACACTTTCTCCAAGAAACCCTCCCCACCCTCCAAGCTGGGATTAAACGTCCCCCCCGCCTTTTTTTTATGCTTGCTTAGCATCATCTCCTTCCTGTCTTGCCTCCTGCTGTAAGTGTGATAATTCTTGGTTTTCTCTTCTGTATCTCCCTCCCCACCCCCTGGCCCTGAGGCTGCCCCATAAGAGCAGGGACCAACTATGACGTGCTAGCTCTACCTCCAAAATGCAGCCCCGTACCTGGCACTCGGTAGGTGCTCAGGAAACATTTGTTCGATGTGTAACTAAAGATGAAAGAGCGGGGTATAAGAATGGAGGAGACGGGGCTAAGGGCGCTGGGTAGTAAGACTGGATGCTCACATGCATCTCCCGTTGTCCCAGTGTCCTGCTGGAAATGCAGTCTGTCTTCATCCCTCTCATAACTAAACAATCAGCTTCAGAAGCCCTTGGCTTGAGAGTTGAGAGGAACAGCTGTGGCAAGGAGGGACCAGAGACACACTGGTTTGCATCCTTAGGAAGGAACCACTTTCTAGCAACCCACCCACTGCCATCATCACGCTTATTAACCACTAGAAATAACTGGGGCTTCAGGAGGGTCTAAAGAATGCTAACTTGCTCATATCTAGAAAGAAGTTCAATCACAAAAGATACATTGCTAAAAGTAATGTTATGTCATTAAACTAGAAAAATGTCAAAACTCAGTGATAGGAAGGGGCACATCTAATCACCAATATTATCATCACCAAGGGCAACTGTTAATAGACCACAAAGGTCCCCCCACAAAAGACACAGGCACTGTGGACACTCTGAACTCAGAAAAAATCCTGGGCTCATGCAATGTCCTTTTTCTCAAGCTATGTGTCTTAATCGAGTTCCTTAATGTTTTTGAGGCTCCATTTCTTCATCTGTACAATGGAAATGGAAGATGACCATAGCAACAGGTGCTGGTGGGTTATGGGTCTGGCACATGGCAGGCACTCAAAACTGGCAGACGCCATGATCATTATGGCGGCTCTAAGGAATGCCTTCAAGGCCCATAAATTCAGCTAGTACCTCCCCCAGCCAACAACTTCCAAATCCGTATACCCAGTTTGGGAGTCCTAATACCAACATGCCTATATCTCAAGGGCACCTCAAACTCAAAAGGTCTGAAACTGAAGACAGTGAACACTTACACCCACCCCATCGCCTCCCGTGGTACCTCCTACTCCCTCTCTGGGATATGGGGAGGCATTCCTTGTGCTTCTTTTGCCCCATCTCTTACAGTCTGATCAATTTCTTAAATTTACTTCAAATAATTCCCTTCTTGTACATTCTTAACTCATTGCCTTGGTTCCTGTCCTAAGAATTCCTGATGGGATGTCACACTTATCTTCTACATCTAGACCTGCTTACCTCCAGCTGCACCTCCCCACTGTGGCTAGAATGTTCATTCTAAGTCCCTGCCTTATGGAAAATCCCTGTCATCTACATGGCAAAGTCTAGACTCTTTATATGGGTGTGAGGAGTCAAACCCAACTTCAACTGCCTCTCCCTCTTATCCGCATCTCATCCTCCCAAGTGTCTTCTCATTATCAGCTTAGATAGTCTTTCCCATCCCTGGCTTGTTGACCTACCAACTCCCCAGTATCCTCCCAGATTCATCCAGGCTTCACTTCTCTGTGAAATTTTCCCCCACAAAATTTCTTCAGACAAACTAAGTACTCTTATCTCTGTTCCCCAATACCCTATGTATCCTTTTATTATAGCAATTATCATATTTTTTTCATAAACTCCTTTTTTATCAATACAATTAAACTTTGACCTCCTCAGGGGGCTGTAAAATTTATCTATTTTATCTTTGTTTCTACAATGCCAAACTCAGCATATAGTAGTAGCTCAATATATGTGTGACAGATGAATGATCAAATTCCTTCAGTTACATAATAGCACATTAGTAGATCAAGTTTTACAGAAGTACAGTACTTGTCAACTGCATAAAGCCAATATGAGTTAATTACCCAAATAAAGAGAAGTATGGGAATAATAATGCTCTTTACTTCAATTATATGCAAAACATTGGTTTATTCAAGACTATTCTAGATGCTAGTGGGGGTTCCACAGATGTATACACTGACCTTTAATAAGTTTAAACTAAATGGGAGCAACAGTCACCTAAATCTCCAACTGTAACAACTAACCAGGGTAAAATAGAAGGTGCTCAATAAAAGACTTAACACTCAACCAGGTCAGACTAGCTTTATACCCTGCTGCCCCGGCCTCCACTAGAATGCTGCTGAGCCTTTGCCACTGTAATAATAGAGTAATTAATTGTGTGATTACTTGCCTAGGGTATTTTCCCCTATAAGAATATCAGCTCCATGTGGGCAAGGATCACATTTGTCTTACACAGTCCACCATCTTGGGCATCTGGCCCAGTGCCTCATGTGTGGTAGACCCTCAATGAGTGTAGAGGAAGAAAGGGCAATTAATGTCAATGTACAGATGAGGCATATGGAAACAGAGGCCTTAAGGACTAAGAACAAAGCTTTCAGATTTACTGGAGAGTTCATGAATAGTCCACAATTTTTTTCCATTAGATTTCTTTGAATACTCATTTTTTTCACCTGTAATGATCTTTCACCTGACTTGTCAAGCAGATCCATTCTTCAAAGGTATTTGTGGAAAACTATAGCTTTCTGCCTCAGTGTACAATTTAGCTGTGGCTGAAAGAGTTTTCCCAACAAAAAAATCAAATAAGAATGTGAGCTGGAATAAAATCACTTTTTTCACAGGTGGTGCAGACGAAATGCTAATGTTTTAAAGAGAGCAGAATTCCTTGCTGGAGTCGTGGGTGGTTTTCAGGGGGAGAGCAGGATTTTCTATCAGCCTAGGAGATTTGGAAAGTCCCACTCAAGGGGGAAAACATGAGTGAAGGGTGGTGAGAGCCCAGAGAAAGAAAGTAGAAGATTGTATACGTCAAGACAGGAGCAGAGCACAAAGTGACCAGCCCAGTGGCAACAGACTGCCGATGCCAGCTAAGGAATCGGGACTCGGGTTTATATATAGTTGAGCCCATTCCAGATTTTAAGGGATGAAAATTAAGATGTTTTAGGAAGACTCATTTGGCAATAGTTTTCAGGGAGACCAATTAGGATACTAAAGATATCCAATTAAGTGATAATAAATGAAAAAAGAATTTTAAGAGGCATTATGAGATGTAGATTAACCAATTTACTTTCTGATTGTTAAAGCATCTCTCAGATTTTGTGAGTGGGTGGCAAGAATGTAGTAGAACCATTTCAGAAATAGAAAAAAAGCACAGGAGGAGCCACTTTGAGAAGGAACAACATACATTTGGCTTTATAGACATTTGCCTTGGGGACAAGCAGAACAAGGTGTCCTGAAGGAAAATGGAGATGGAAGAGTGTACTCTTTTTATTACTGCTTTCATTGTTAGCAGCATGGTGATGATGGTGGTGAAAATTCACTAGTACAAGCTTCGGATTTAAAATAACATCATCTCATAGGCAAATTATGGAAATGGCCCAAGTGTCCATTGACTGATGAATAGACAAAGAAGATGTGGTGTGTACACACACACAC